GTGGACAGAATTCATGATCCTCATCCGTGAAGGTTTTCTGTCATTCACATCAGTTCATTCCAAGAAGTGTAGAAGTATGAACTGGACTGACAGTCAGTGAAGACGAGTCTTCAGTTATAGTTGACTGTTCTGTTTTGCTTCTAATGGCTCAATACCTGAGTCCAGAATCGTCACAGTGAATCAGTCCGGTCCTGGAGGTTGTATTTACCTGAGTCATGATGGGAATGGAGGGCCGTTAGTACCACCAGAGGGCCACAGCCCACTGTTTGCGGCTTGGAGTCTGTCCGTGTTGTTCTGAATATGAAGGTTTCCAGAAACAGTTTTCACCTCTGCAGATATATTGTGTTTCCCTCTTTGTATTTGTGCCTCTTTATTCAGGGTCAGAGTCCCTGAACAAACAAGGTTCATCGTTCAGCGTGCCACTGAATGCAAACCATTGATCTGTCAATGGGAAAAGGGGGCTGTACCATTTTAAACCTTTTGTCCAGGAGCATAAAAAGACTGAATTTAGATGTCGTAAACCAGACTGGGCTTTATTTTAAATAATTAATAATTTAAATAATTTAAATTCAGTAAAATGAAAGCTTTTGTACTGTGAGTTAAATGAGTTCAACATATTTTTAAATAATTCACAAACTGTGCGGTCATTGCATTTAAAATGTTTTATTATGCAATATTTGTTTGATGAGCCTACTTTCTTCAGTGATGAGTCACACAGGCACTTTTAAAAAAAAAAAAAAAACACGATCGGTTACATTAGTTGTGTGGCTGCAGACCAAATGGTTCCTGTGGGAGCTCTAATTAAAACACCGCACAAAGGTCAGACTTCTGTGGTTCACCATTGTATTAAATGATGCTGTTTAAAAGTCAGGGAGATAATGCTGCATCATGCCAGCTGCAGCTCAGGGATCCTGCAGAGCAACCATATGGAAAGGTCTCAGCTCATTTCAGCAGTGACTTCCCCAAAGTGCTTGATCTGAGACGAGTGAAGGAAATAAGTCAGCACTTTCACACAAACACTCCTCACAAATGAGGACAGAAAACCAGGCAAGAATTTCTTCCAGAATTGATTTAGAGTGGACGCTCGAGATACAACTTTAATCTGTTCCACAACAGAACTCTTGTTTCCTTTGCAGATTCCCCATTAAAAAATAATTAAAAACCAATTAAGCCCCACAGAAATAAATTATACTATTAATTAATTAAATTAAAATTCACCTCTATCTTCACATCATAAAACATAGATGGAAACAAATATATTGATAATATAAAATAATAATAATTAAGAAAACATTTTTGAAATAGAATAGAATAACATTATTGTTATGAAAATGGGTAAAATAACCCAGCGAGGGACAATGAGTGAGACAGCGCCACAGAGTGTCCACTAAGTATAGAAGAAGTATTATATATATATATATATTTGTATATTTTATTTTATCAAACACTAAAAAGTTTGTGACAAACTTCGCAGCTGTTTTGGCATCAGAGCTGCAGCTTCCCCATGCCTTATAACTGAATGGATGCCAGTCCTGGATTGAGCAGTTGTAACTAGATATTTTCTCGTATCACGAACAAAATCTTCCAATAGTTGCGTATTGCGGGAAGCACCTCGGGATCCACTGTAGTTTAGAATTTCTTTTTTTTATTAGTAATTTCCGTTCGCACTTCTTTCCATTCTTTTGACTGGGTTTGTGACTTTTACTCAATTGCGACTTATACATTAAAATATATACTTTCACATTTGTTATTTTATCTATTTCGCTAGAGGGCACTCTGGGCTAGTGTACCAGTATCTGGTACTCCTGTACCACTGAAAATGTACACGTTTGTTATTTTCACACTGAAAGTCACTAGAGGGCAGTGGTGCGACTTCGACTCCTGAGTGACTTATATATGTTTTTTTTCTTAAGATGTGAATAAATTATGTTTTCATCTGCATAGAGAGTTTAAGTAGAATAGAGCCTTTGGCTGTGAATATCTGCTCTGAAATGACCACTGATAGTACGTAAACCTTTTCCCTTTTTCCTTTTTCACCATGCACCACGAGATCAACGTTCACCCATCACCATGGAAACTAAGTTAATTCAGCTAATTAGACTTTTTTCCTAACAAGTTAAGAACAAGTTATCGAAGAAGAGCAAAGATACTACATAAGAGCGCATCTCAATATAAAATATATCACTGCAGTATTGCAGTTGCTGTGAGTACACAGTACACAGCTAACTACCAAGCAACCACCGCCGTTTCCCCCATTAGTGTCATGAGCATACGTCCTGCACTGAGCACCTACAGATGGTAACGCCGCCATCATCAACACTTTGTATATGTGTATACAGTATCTCTCGTCGGTGATGCACAGTGACAGAGATCTACAACTGCAGTTTCTCATAAAAAACAATCACACCACCAGAAGACAGTGAGCAGTCGCAGCATGTCTGCCGCCCCACGGGCCGACAGAGTAAATGAGGTGGAAATATGTGAAGCTTAACACGTCCCCAGGGAGACATTACTAATAAGAGACACCATTTCACTGAGGAGGGGAGACACACAGAGGAGCAACCGTGAGAATCACACCCTAGATGGACACACTGGTGGAGAACAACTTCCCTCCGACTCTATGACCCTTTTTACCCCTTGTGGAGATTTGTGTTAAAGTTCAAAATAAGTCCAGTTCTATAGATTAAGAATATCTGTATATATTATATACGCTGTAATATAGACATATATGTCTATATTACAGCGAATTATGGAAAAATTTCCAAAAACTAAATAAAATATAAAGCAAGAAAATACGTTAGCTCAGAAAAAGGCTAAAATTAAAGCTTGTCTCTGCTGTAGATTAATTATAATTAATAGTGATTAATTTGTAATTTTAATTAATTATTATTCATTTGGATCCAATTTATTGGATCCTCATTAAAAGATGAGTTGAAAAATTTTGGACGAATAATTTCGCAAATATATTGAATGTATTTTTACAGCCCATATATAAATATATACACTTTCCTTAACAGCTTCTCTTTCTGCTCATAATTCATGAAACAAAAATATTTCAAATATACAAATATAAATATACAAATTATATTTCCTGGAAACTGAACAAAGATTCCCAGTTCCACACTGTGGCCATCTGTGGCAGTGTTTCCCTGCTTTCCCCTGACATTTTTCATCCCCTCAGGCTTTAGGGCAACATGCTGACTGTCTGACCCCTGACCCCCCAGCCTTCCAGGTTGCCTGCTCTCACTGTCCCCTGCCCCTACAAGGCCTGCAGGGGCTGTTGTACCTGCCAAAGCCCCGTCAACCCATCAACCTTCCCCCTTGGCACATGACAGCTGGCACCTTTCAGCCCCACAGGCAACACCTTCCACCCCCTGCTGTTGGCATTCAACACACAGTGGCTGCGGCCAATATACTCTGTGTGTGTGTGTGTGTGTGTGTGTGTGTGTGTGTGTGTGTGACTCAGAACACACATAATAAGTATTCCCTGAATGTGCCTGATTGCAATAACATGTTGGTGTGACAGAGTGAAGTCCTCTCAGGAGGTATCCATGGCAACCCATTGTGTCAAGCATCACTTTGCAGAAGCTGTGAGCTCTGCTCGCCACTCAGCTCCACATAAGTATCCTCCCCAGACAAAATGCTCCTTCAGCGCGGCTGTATTAAAACCAACCACCTCCGCCGGGCAGTTAAACCTCTGAAAACACACGTAGTGCGTAGGTTTTGGCATTTTATGAAACAATTATTGAAACAGAGAGGAGGTGACTCATCTACAGGAGTGAAGGGGAAAAAAGGTGATTTTCTTTCCAGCATTGATTGTTTTTTCATAGTGGGTTTTATATAAGACATTTATTTGCCAAGTTGATTACATTTTCTTTCCTCTTTGTGAAATTATCACATTTTGTGTTACTTTACTGTGCAGGAAAACACATTTAACAATGTTCTGAAAGGTTGAACTTTAATCATTTTTCTAGCCTTAGACACAGGTTCAAAAATGCAACAGGAATGCTACAATTCAGCCCCAGAATAAAAAAAAAAAATAGTTTCACCAAATTTTATATTTATATATATTTTTCTGATCTTTCTCATCTCTCTCCCCATTCTTGTTCTGGTGTGACCCGCAATTGAACCAAAGTTAGGTCCGTACGTAGCCTCAGTCAGTGATGGTGGGCCAGTGTGCCGTAGAAAATGATCCAATTTCACTTAATTGGCCTGAAAACTGTTATTTATTTATTGCATAAAATTTTTCTTTGCTCGTCAAAGCATGGAAGGCAGAACTATCAATTACTCTTCTGCTAGGTGGCAGCAGATGGCTATGAAAACTAAAAAGATAATTAGAGCTGAAGATCTTTGTGAGTCTCTTTCTTCAATTCCTGCCAGTATGTCAGTGTTGTCTTCAATTAAACAGGCTGAGTATTTAGTCAATTATGAGGTCAAATTATTTTATTTAACGACATGTGCTTTCTGTGAGATTTTTGTTTTTTCCTGATGTTCAATGTGCTGTGGCTCAAAAAAGGTTGGGAAACACTGGTCTAAGTGAAATTCAGGTGTTGAAACAGAAATGTGACTTTTTTTTCTGTTCTGTTATTCAAGAGAACAATTTCAGTTGATGAGGTTCACAGACTATTTCAATTGGTGATGGGTTTCTTACAGAGTTCTTATAAATAAAGGCTAATTGGATGTAATTTTTCTGGAGCTCCCTTTGTTAGAATGAATTGTGATAAAATCGAATCATGAAACCACTGCGTCTTGAACCAGTGATCCTCTTGATGTAAGGCCAAGGCAAAGATTGAATTCCCTTCCATTCTCACGTTATTGATAAATAATTTTAAAAAGTCACAAGTCTCAACCTAATGAAAAAGTGAGAAAACCATTAGAGCACATTAGAAGAAAACTCCTCTTTAGGCCACTGGGAGAGTGAGAGAGAGATGACAATGCTCTGAAAAGACAGATGCAGCAGAGAGCTGATGAGAATGAAAAGACGCCGCCTGTTCCCTCAGGTGTCCTGGATGAACATCAACATCAACACATCACGTCTCCTCTTTCTGACAGCTGCTCCTGCACACACCTCCTGCCTGCCGATGTCTTACTCCCGTGTTCACGTGTCGCCTCCTGTTTGTTCGCGGCGTCAACAGCGAGCCGTGCCGGGGTCTCCTGCCGGGCTGTCAGGAGTGCAGTGGAAATGCAGACAGACAGGCAGGTCAGCAGGCAGATGGCCAAACAAACAGGGGGGATTGGATTAACACCAGTGTCTAATTGCATTTGTGAAAAGCAGAGAAGAGCAGCAGAGGAAAAATGAATAGCCACATCCAAATGATGACTGAGTTACAGGAGCAGCATCATCTCCACCACGTGAACTTTACAAATCAAGAAGGTCACTGTGGGATTTATAACACACATGTAAAAAACTGCGTAACGTGAATGCAGCTAATGTTGTCCTGCTTTTTAAAGAGCTGAACAAAATTGCAAGTAAATTAGATTTACATCAAATAAATCAAAAGGAAAATGTAAATAATGTTTATTTTACAAATGTATCTGCTGATTTCCTGGAGTTAAATTCAATAAAACAGCTTGATTACATTAGGGTCTCTAATGAACATGTCTCATATTTAAAGAAATACAAAGTGCAGACCTTAAGACGAAACAAGAGACGCAGGGACGTAATCACATTTCCTTTTGGCAGATGCATTGTCATAGTCCGACCGCAACGGAGATCATGGACTATTTTAATGAATGCAACGCCAACGTGCCGTCTTCTATAATACAATATTAGCCCCGGATGTACAGTACAGCTTTAATGTCTGGTTTTGCTCCGCAGGTTTTTACACAAGAACACAAAATCACTCTTTCTGTAGACGATTGATCAAGTTTAACACAAAGGCTTCTGCACACAGATATCTGTGGGTTTTAATTGATGTATATGTAAAACGTGTTGTGGTTTCTGCAGACCTCAGACCATAACATATAGCTGACCGTGGACCTGGATTGGCCCCGGAGCCCGATTTTGGCCTTGCATTCATAATTTAACAAAAAAAAAATACTTAGATTTTTGTTTCATTGTTTGTACACTGTACATTTGTAAAATTAAAAAAAAAATTTAAAAAGTAGTCAGGGTCACATGAGGGGCATTAGCCAATCAGTCACAGGGTGAGGGCGGGGTTACAATCTGGACACTCACATTTATACCTGTGGTCTTTGTCCCAAAGTGTCCCATTAACCTGGCATGCGTTCATAGACTGAGAGACCTCCAGTTACAGCTCAGCAGAGCCACATTTCTAAAATGTCATGTTAATATGAATCTTCTTTCGATGCATTATTCATTAGATTGAAGCCTATTTATTTTTAAAAGCTGCATTTCTGTTCCACTGGAAAGAAAAGCAGTATTTGCACATGGGAACAAATCACATGTTAATGAATGCAAATATAAACAATCCAGCGTTGACAGTGGCCCAAACCAAAGGCCTCTTAAATCTATTCAGTTTGATTTGAATCACCCAGGGTCACACTTCTGTGTCAGTGAACAGAAAGTGAAGGATTTTTTTTTAAAGCCCCACCCCCCCCACCTCTCTGTGTTAGTGGGCTCTGTGTGTGTGTGTGTGCATTAGCATCATAAGTCTCCTGCTCCTGTCAAAGCTGCTGATTCTGCATTTCTGTCAGAGGCTGTGGTTTACCCATCCTCCTGCAGTGGAGCACCCTGAGCTGCCGGGGGGATGAAGGGGTTGGACCTGGCCCTAAACTTTCTCTCTCCCTCAAGAGCAACTAGGGTGGAATAATTTCAAAGCATGTGAAAAACCGAAGCCTCAGTGTAACTGAAAGTACTGACATATATTTTTGTGTTAATGAGAAAAGATTTGTTTTCTTAAAACCTTTTGACTAACACTTATATATGTATGTTTTAATTATTTTTCATCATTTTCTCATATTTAACACATTATTTTACCGTTGAAAACCTGTGGGTCTTAAATCAGTATGTAGTTTAATGTCCTTTCACCAGCTGGGAAACACTGGCATCTTGTGGTCAGTACTTTATGTTACTGTTCTGATGTAAAATTACAATTTGAAGACTCTTTATCTTAAAATCTTAATTAAATGTTATTTATATCTTAAAATCTATAATTAAACTTTTTTTGTTAACATATTTTGTTTTGGAGACTCACTAAATTAAAATAACTAGTGTTGTCCGATAGTTCCTAAAGAACAAAGCGTGGAGCTAAATGCTGGCGCCTGCGTCGACCGTTGCTCTACTTTCTACTTGACATTTTTACCTCCCGTTGCCTGCGTTGGAACCTCAGAGTCCTTCCTTCACAGAAATGTCAAACCACCACGCTTGAACCATTAACCAAGCCTCCTTCACGTTTGATAACTTTGCCAGTTTTGTATTGAAACACGCGGTCTTCCTTTGTTACATCTACGACAGGGTTTGAAAATCTGCCCATGAGGCGGAGCTGGAAAGCACTGATTCGAGACAGAACCTCCTCCAGAGTCTCCACAGGAACAATGACGCACAGCCTGAGGGCAGAGACATGCAAAATGGTTAGGAATTGTTTTTGTTTTTAGTTTTTTTTTTTGTTGTTTATTTAGTTTTTTCTTGTTGTTGTTGGATTTTTTGGGTTTTGTTTGTGCCAAATGGCAGAATCCACCTTATATGATGTTGGTGAGATGCGCCGCCACAAGTCCAGCCTGGTCCTAGCAGCACACCCTCTTCCTGCAGTAACATCTGACAGTACAGAACATCTGCCTCCAACTTTGACACCTACAGGACATACAACAGAAATACAAAGTATAAAACAAATATAACCAATATATATAATTTCCATTTCCTCTCTTATAGTTTTACTAATTGTATTTGTTTGGGTTTTTATTTATTCTACACCAGTGATTATCAATTGGTGGCTCAAAAATCAGACCCACTGAACCATCAAATCTGGCCCACAACTGGATCCCAAAATAAACAGTAAATTCTCTTCTCTGCCTAGATTTCTGCTGACCTCTGCGTACTTCATGAAATCCGGAGGTAAACGCAGACTGGGATACAGATAAACTCCTCCCATTGATGGCTGACAACTCATTCCTGGTAGAACATTCAACGCCTGCACCACCCGCTGAGCATTCTGGGTCAGTGTGGTTCTGTGTAGGAGAACCTCCTGGGAGACACGGGAATAAAACAAAACAAACACCTGGTCAGTACCCATAGAACACAGTCGTTGGTTCTACGCCGCCCTGCGTGTCTGTCCAGTCACCTGTATGTACGTGTCATAGGACTGGTCTCCAGGTTTCGGTGGGTTGACCATCAGATCCAGGGCCAGCTGACCCGTCACTGGAGTACTGATGTCAAAGCACAGCAAGATCTCAATATAATGGATCACCTCTGGGTCTATGTTGATGGTCTCCATGTAGCCTGCCCTCAGACCACCCCTGGAACATAGAGGCACAGGTTAAAAACTCATACGATACAGAACAGTACAGACAGATATGCAGTAGTTTAAAACTACTGCTCACTCACTCTCCCAGGAAGCTGCTGGACACAGACTGAAATGACACCAGCTGCACTGACTCTGCCAACTCCTGATCCATCTCCAACAGGACTTTCTTATAGGAAATAAACTCAGCGTCTGGTCCGTACACACAGTCCTGGTCTACCTGCAGAGCAGTACAAAGACAGGAAGAAGTTCACTGGTGTTTGGAAATGGGTTTGTTACTTTAGTTCTGTCTGATTGACACTAGCTTTCATTCACCTCATTAGCCAAAATAAGGAGTTTGTGATCTGCAGCAAACTGAATCACCTCCTCTATTGATTTTCTGTTCTGCACATGACCTAAAAAACAATCATGATTTTTAAATGACTCTGTCTGTGGTCTGAACACTAGAGAGACTCATTGTATTTATCACCAAACATAAACACATTTGTCATTGTTTAACATGTTATACCAAAGAAATAATACAAACTTTCTACATGCACCATTGCCCCTCAAAATATGTTTGTATATATGTATACGTAAGTACTAATGTATGTATATCTACAGGTATACAGGTTTATGTGTTGTGTGTTGTTTTAACTAAAGTTTTTCTTATTGTTTTTTACCTGTAGGGTTTCCCGGGTTGCTAATGTAAATGGCTCTTGGCTCACAGTGCCCTCTGGCTGCCGTAAGAGCTCGCTGCAGCTCGTCCACGTCTACAGCCCAGCCCCGCTCTTCATTCAGCTGGTAGGGCATCATTTTCACATCTACATCATCCAGCAGCACCGGCAGTGTGGACGGACAGGGCACGGGGGTCAACACACCTGTATGAGTTTTTCCTTTACCTCTGGCCAAGAGCTTCAGAAACACCTGAAATCACAAAAAAAAAAAAAAAAAAGGGAAAAAAAAAGAAAACAAAAAGGG